TTAACAACACGTCAACGACAGCGTTAACAACATGTCAACGGCAGCGTTAACAACACATCAACGGCAGCGTTAACAACACATCAACGACACCGTTAACAACACATCAACGACACCGTTAACAACACATCAACGGCACCGTTCATAACACATCAACGACACCGTTAACACATCAACGACACCGTTAACAACACATCAACGGCACCGTTAACAACACATCGACAGTACCTATTACTTCAGACTATACTTCCTCCACTTTGCTACATTCTGTTAATAACAGCTGCAGAATATTTCTGGTTCATATGTTCCCATGTTATTAATAGTGAAGCTGTTTTCAATGATTAATTAATTATATGATTATTAATGAATAAACAAAGAATAATAATGAACGTCACAGTTTCTTTATGTTCACAATATGTTTTATTACAATCACAGTAAAACAAAGTTCATCACTTGTTAGTCGGGGCGACCGGGTTGCAAAGCTGTTTCCGTGGAGCTCTGTCTTTATCTTTCTTCTCCAGAGGCTTCAGGTGGCAGGACAGGACCAGGTCCCTGAGACACAGACACAAACCTTCAGGACAAGACCTGGCCTCTGAGACACAGACAAACCTTCAGGACAGGACCTGGTCTCTGAGACACAGACAAACCTTCAGGACAGGACCAGGTCTCTCTGACACAAAGACACAAACCTTCAGGACAGGACCAGGTCCCTGAGACATAGACAAAAACCTTCAGGACAGGACCAGGTCTCTGAGACACAGACACAAACCTTCAGGACAGGACCAGGTCCCTGAGACATAGACACAAACCTTCAGGACAGGACTAGGTCCCTGAGACATAGACACAAACCTTCAGGACAGGACCTGGTCTCTGAGACACAGACAAACCTTCAGGACAGGACCAGGTCTCTGAGATACATAGAGACCCACACTGAGCCTGGAACTCTTTACAGGACCTGAACGAATCTCACTCAACACCCGGAGGGGTCTCCAGGACCAACAACAACAGTAAAAATGTTCCTGTAAAATTCATCCCCAATAAAACTCTCTGATTTCTGTCTTTAATAACTTGTGGAGTCCCTCAGGGACACGTCTCGGGTCCTCTGAACTTTACAACCTTGTAAATATTTAATGAAACACCTCATTAATCCTCTGGCTCTGTCTTAAATGGATACTACAGGACCTGGAGGTTTCCAGAACCTGGAGGTGTTTCCAGGACCTAGAGGTATTTCCAGGACCTAGAGGTGTCTCCAGGACGTGTATTTACCTGAACTGGCAGTAGGAGGAGACTCCCTGGTTGACGGCTCTCAGTTTGGCGTCGTTCTCTTGGTGATGTCGCCGCTCAGACTCGATCGCCCCCTTCAGCTCTCTCTCCAGCGTTGAGAAGTTGATGACATCATACTCTGACCTTGCCATGACCTGATGATGTCATAAAGGTTCACATTGATTTTTACACTTCAAGTACAAAAATCAGACCAGAACCAGACCACAACCAGACCAGACCTTGACAACAGTACTGATGTAGACCTGAGTGGGTCTGAAGGTTTACTGGATACCAGACCGACCAGTTTGATCCTCACAGCTAACAAGTTCTGGATTACACTGACACTTTACTTTAGTAAAAGTATTAATACCACAGTGTAGAAGTACTCTGTTAGGAGTAAAAGTACTAATACCACAGTGTAGAAGTACTCAGCTCAGTGGCTAACGTTAGCTTCCATGCTAACATGCTAAAGCTAGAAGCTAGCAGGTGAAGCAGATTTAAACAGTTTACCTGAAGCAGCTCGGGGTCCTCGTGCTACCGTCTCTCTCCGTGTGGTCACGTGTTTCAGGTGTTTTCAGGCTCCTCGTGGATCACAAACAACAAACCGTCTCCTTGACGACGGGATGACGGACCGCGCCTGCGCACTTGAAAGCAGTGACAGCGCCGTACAGTCGCCAGTCCGCTCGGTTTAAAACATTAATACTTATATAAAATACATGTTTTATTATAACTATGTTGAATATAGATGATGAAGTGAACAACAGCTGATTTATTTTGACTTTTCCTAAACTGAATCGGTTTGTTTAGATCCAGGAGACGTTATAAATTTAACAACCCTAAAGAGACTCTTCTCCTCCGGACGTGGAGGATTTAAACTGTCCAGAGGACAGAACCAGGTCTCAGCTCCAGTTCAGCTCGGTCGGTGATGACGTCAGGTGGATCAGAACCCGTAGAACCAGTCTGAATGAGCTCAGGTGACCTGGTTTCTACCATAGACTGGTGGTTCACACGGCTCGTTGTTTCTTCTTCTTTGTGGATGGAGCTCAGCGGTTCAGTGCTGCCGCCGCTGGACTGAAGAGGAACTACACCTCTGTTCTTCTGTCCTCGTGCTGCCGCCTGCTGGACCATGTTAGCATGTTAGCATGAATTATGTAATGTTGTAATGTTTGTAATGTTTCTTATTGTCAGGTTGTGAAATTCTATTTGTGCAAATAATAAATCATAACACATCAAAGTGTCACTGTAGTATTTATCTGTTATAACATATAAATACATATATATATACATATATATACATACATATATATATACACATACATATATATATATACATATATATATGTATATATATATACATACATATATATATATATACATATATATATATACATATATACATATATATATATACATATATATATATACATTTATCTGTTATAACATATAAATACATATATATACATATATACATATATATATATATATACATATATATATACATACATATATATACATACATATATACATATATATATATATATATATACATACATATATATACATATATATATATATGTATATATATATATATAAATTAGGGCTGGGCAAGTTAACAAGTTATTATCGCGTTAACGCATTAATTAATTAACGCCGACAATTATTTTATCGCGCATTAACGCAGTTTTTTATAAATGCAATACACACCGTTGATGCAGCAAATCACCCAAACAAACAGTGGAGGAAGTCTTCAGACTATGTTGATGCAGCGTGTGGGAGAAGTAGAGATAAACTAAAGCAACACAAGCTAACAGATGCTACAGAGAAGTGGAGACAAACTGCAGGTTAGTGTTGTGGAAGATGTCGGTCTGAGGAACGTTCTTAGGATGCAACGAATGACTTCACGTATGAGCCTCAAGACGCATGATCGTGGCTCTGGACTCTGAGGGTAACTTGTTTTAGATAAAACGTTAATGCCCTGTGGCAAATAGCTTTGGTTTTATATTTGATTTGATTACAGTTGAGATTTACAAGAAATATTATAACTGCTACTGTGTAAAGGGAATACTGCTGTTAACAAGAACCTGATGTGTTTAAAGTGTTTAAACCAAATGTTATTGACCTTTTGTTCATTAGCATTACTTTTTAAATAAAAGTGCACAATACACTACTTTAGAATTCATTATTGAACTTTGTGCATAACAATGAGATTAATGAGATTCAAAATTGTAATCGCTGCCCAGCACTAATATATATATGGAAAGATCTCTGCAGACCCCTCACACCCTGGACACAAGCTGTTCCAACTCCTCCCCTCTGGTAGGCGCTACAGGGCTCTGTACGCCAAGACCACCAGACACAGGAACAGCTTCTTTCCACTGGCCATCACTCTCATAAACAATAAATAAGTTATACTGCACTATTACCACCACTTATAATTCATGCCATTGTCTATAGGTTTATGTTCACATGTATATATATATATATACACTTTTTCTCTTGAATATATATTTATACTTATATTGTATATCGCTAAATGTCTATACCTACATCCGTTCTACTTTTTTGCTGCCCTTTTTTATTCTTTATATATATATATTGTCTTGTTTATTGTAAATTTGTGTTTGTACATTGAGAGCGGAGTGGAAACCGGAGACAAATTCCATGTATGCGTAAGCATACATGGCCAATAAAGCTGATTCCGATTCTGATTCTGATATATATACTATACATACAGTATATGTATATACTGTATATGTACAGTATATATATACATATATGTATATACATATATGTATATATATACATATAACAGTCAGATGGATATAAAATGGACACAATCAGTGAATCATTAAAAAAGATGTTTGCTAAGTGAACACAAGTTATTTCTTTATATACTTATGTTTTCTTATGACATGATTATTACTGATGATGAAGATATGAAGTGATCGTACGAGAGCTCTCACTGACTTTATTTACACACTTTGTTAATTTACACAATCTTTATGTGCAGGTGATGAAGATGAGGTTTATATCTGTTATAATATAAATGTACTTCTAGTGTCTCCACGAGTACAAACACGCTGGTTTAAATGTTAATGATAAAGAGAATCTATGAGTGTAAAGTAACATGTGATATGAAGTTAAGTTAAAAGAGAGGCATCATTAATATCTATGTGCATTATATGAAATGATGCCTCATTTAACTTCTCAGTCTGACTTCAGTTCATCATCTGAAAAGTGTTCTCATGAGTCAGAATTTCTGATCAGTTAATCTCTTTCTACCGTCAGTTTTGTTTTCATAGATCACGTTTGATTGTGAAGTTGTGTTCGACTCTTTCAGAACATTTATCAATGAGACTCCAGGTCTGTGATTGATCAGTTGACCTGAGATGACACCTGGAGGTCTGACGGTCGGCGGTAGAAATGAGCGTAAACAGGTCTTTAGATTTCAGATTCATGTGAAAAATATCTCAGAAGACCTTTACTGTCTCCGTCGTTCATTTGTAACTAATGAAGCTCCGGCTGTGGTTGAGACTCCGTCTGGAAATAAACTGGATTCATTGAAGAGTTTATGAAGTTCAGAGTAAATGAGTCAGAAAACACTCCCGAACAAAGAGATCAGTTCATTTGATTTAATCTGTTAATCTTCCATGTGTACTTTGTTCTATATCTGTAATACATATTAACTCAATAACATCAAACATACAGATTATCATTTCTATTCACCTGTCAAACAAACAACAGTAAACATGTTCCTGTAAAATTCATCCCTCATAAAACTCTGATTTCTGTCTTTAATAACTTGAGGAGTCCCTCAGGGAAATGTCCCGGGTCCTCTCAACTTTATATTCTTATTAACATTCAACGATAAACACTTTAACAGTTAGATCCAGGGTGTGTTGAGCCTAGCTTAGCACAAAGACTCATTTCCTGTGACAAAGCGCTTCTTCTTCTTCTTCTGTGGTGTTATTTTGTGTCTCTCTTGAAAACAACACTACGTGACTGATTGTGATCCAGCGCCTTAAGTCTTATTGATTTCAAACTAAAACACAAACTTGGTATCAACATATTCTAGAAAATGACTTTTATGTGCATATCTGTGACTTTATTTATAACTTTGAATTAAACTTCAGTAGGAATGTGGTTTTAGAGGATCCAGTGTTCATCTACATGTAGAAAAGCTTCATGTGTTAAAGCTGCATTCTCTAGTGTCCACCAGGGGGCGACTCCTCTGATTGTATAGAAGTCTATGAGAACATGACTACTTCATAGAACATTTGAGGTCGTTCTAGAGAAAGTGTGTGAACTTTGAGACTGGAACTTTCCTTAAAAACAGGAAAGCACAGGCAGAATCACTGGAGACGGACGGGTCACGGAGGTCCAGAGTTCTGAAGGTTCTGGAGAATCCTCTCATTTTAGAACCAGTGGATTAGGTGGTTCCACCTGGGTCAGGTGATGTTTGGTTCCAGAGTTATACAAGGTTCCAAAAGAATCTGGAACCTGTTTGGATAGTTCTCACTCTGAGATGTTGGGTTCTGGGTTCTATTCAGTGTTTTGTTTGGTCTGTTGCCTTGAAAGCAAAGTGGCGGTGCTGGTTAAGGTTTCAGAACCAGTCCAGGGTTCAAGGTGGTTCAATTCAGGGTCTTACTGTGGTGCATACGGCTTGGTGGCCTTGTGATGAGAGTGTTATGTACTCAACAGCTTCAACACCCCTGGAATTTAAATGTCAACCCAATTTAAAAAAGGAGGTGATTTTTAAAGAGTTCTAGAAGGTTTTGGGAGAGTTGTTCCTCAAAGTGAGAGAATTAATTTTGTTCACAAGTGTCATAATGAGTCCAAGGTTCTACATAGTTCCACTCAAGTTCTACCAGTGATATTTAGTGGTCGGTAAAGGGCAGGTTCCAGGTTCTACCCAAATAAACTCTGATGACCAGGCACTTTTTAAAACTCTGATGTGGGTTTTATAAGTTGCTAAAATGTCAAATTTTTGTTGGTCTTTTAAATTGTAAAATGGCTCAAGTTTAAAATAACAAAACCACTCCAGGGTTCTAGATGGTTCCACTCTGGTTCTACCGGGACCATTTCAGGTGCGGTAGTTAGAGAGCTACCTGGTGAAGCCTGCTGGTTTCAGTTGTAATCCCCTGTCATAATTTTTTAGTCCTGGAGATCTACAAAGTTCCTGAAGGATCTGGAATTTGTTGGAAGAGTTCTTGTTCAAAGTGAGATGTCTGGAGGATTTAAAGTGGCAAGAATATATCTTCCATTTGGTCGATTACCTTAAAAAAAAAAGAGCAAGGCTGCTGTCAAATGTTTCAAAACTAGTTCAGGGTTCTAAGTGGTTCCACTCAAGTTCTACTTGGATCATTGCATCACAGCAGTTAGAAAGAGGCATCATGTAGCCAGCAGATTCCAGGTTCAATCTCCGGTGAACTTGGGTCAGAGACGAGGTAACGATTAGGTTCAAAGTTTGAGAAGGTTCCCTGACACTTTGGAAGACTTTCAGCAGGTTTCCTAATGTTTGGGGGGCTTGCAGGAGGTCTCACAGGGTTCTGGGAGGTTCCAGAGGAGCTCCAGGAGGTTCCCCCCTACCTCTGGGAGAAGACGGTGTGGAACTCGTTGAGTATGAGCTCCACTATCTGACTCTGGAACACCATGTGGATCGTCATATTGGCGGACTCGGTCTGAGGGCGAAGCAACGTGGGGCCAAACACGATGGCGACGCTCTGAACCGACATCCTGTTGGACTCCTTGTGCTCGATCACCCTGCAGAGAGAGAGACAAACCCAACAATGTGAGTCATCTCTTTAAGTTTGAAAAGGCTGATATGGTTGTCAGATGTCTGTGGAACTGGAACCAGAACCAGAACAGAGTCCGAGCCTGCTTTCACACTAAACCTGTTTGGTTCCGCTAAAATAGACTCAGGTCTCAGGTGCGAGTTGTTTGAGCTGACGTGGACGAAACAACCAAACCTAGACCGCCTGAAACGGCAGGTCTGGTCCGGTGCGGTCTGTTTGTGGTGTGAAAGCAGACGAACCAACCGGAGGACTTTATAAGGGCAGCTATGTGATTTTAGAATGATTCCAGAAGCTAAACTACCAGTACACCTGTCTACTCCTCTTGGTTCATGGTGAATAGTAACCAGACAAGAACTAAAAGACAACAATAAGTATCATGTTGTCTCCTGGTCCGGACCAGATGAACCCAACGACCGAGTACAGGAGTGAGAGGATCGTCCCCCCAAACACCTCAGGTCAACGTCCAACATGTCAACACCGTGTGTGCTGTGACTGGTTGGAGGTGCTGTTCACCTGCGCAGGTGTTTGAACAGCAGCTCCATGGTGTCGTGGTTCGGCAGAGGCAGAGAGCGAACCAGGTCCTTCATGTAGGAGACTTTCAGGCTGTAGTCCTGGACCTCTGCAGGGAAATAAACACACATGGTTTTAGTAATTTTAATTATATAAATGTCCCCCGGTCTCAGTGGTTTTTAATGTCCCCCGGTCTCAGTGGTTGTAATGTCCCCTAGTCTCAGTGGTTGTAATGGCCCCCAGTCTCAGTGGTTGTAATGGCC